ATGATGACGTGGAGCGATGGAGCAGCTGGAGACTTTAGATCCAGAGAGGGAGAGCGACTGTGTGCTGAAGACCTGGGGGGTACGGGGAAGGATTGCATGGAGGGGATTGTAATCATGGCAATGAGACGATATACGATGGAATGAATGTAAAACTAATGTTCTCCCATGTAAACTATCACATAATTCACAATAAAACATTTAAGAAAAAAAAAATCTCTATATATTTGTGGGTACATACTTTCAGTCTCCTTCCCAAGCCCATTCATCCTGTGTGTCTATCCATGCATCTACTTGCAGATCACTGCTACTGCAGAATTGTGGAGATAACAGTATTGACCTCTTTTGCCTTTAGCTCTTGCACTCCTCCCACTGTCTTCTTCTAGCTACACTTTTTTTGTGTGTGGTCAATCTCACTCTTATTGTATATTGCCTTCCCCTTCACCCAAGTGAAGTGCCTTGTTTTTAATAGGCAGTTAATTAATTTTATTTATAATCAAATGACACAAAAAACTTAAGTTTTCTAAACGGAAATGTTTATGTGAATGATTATAAATGAGTACTTAAATTTTGTTTGACCTTGTGTTCATTAACAATGAAACGGGACTGGAATATTCAAGTTTTATAGTGAGACAGAGCTGGGTTTGAATCCAGACTCTGACAATTACTAGCTGTTTGACTCTGGCCAATGGCTAATTTCTTGAGTTTCAGCTTCCTCATCTGAATAACAAAACCAATTTACAGGGCTGTTACTAAGGACTTGAGATAAACATTTGGAATATGCCTTGTACAATGCTTGTCAGAGAATAGGAGATCAAGAAATAGTTATACAAGTAGAAAAGAAAACCAATGCTCAGAGGACTGATGTAGTTACACAACATGACTAGTTGAGCTATAGGTTATACTACTGAGCCCCAACCTCAATGACTAACTTCTCCTATTTCACCTACAAGTTAAAATGATTCCCTTTTTGTTTTTCTACATCAGTTGGAGGATCACAGGGTAGGGCAGCAATTAAGAAACAAATACTCCCTTACAAGAAAGTGATGCAGACAGAGATAACACCTTGGCAAAAGACCGAACTGCCTGAGGAGTTTTAGTTCACTTACAGTGAGGGACAGAAGAGTACTACCATTTATTCATTTGATCTTGTTTCTTCCTTATGCTATCATAACATTTCAAAGCAGCTTCTTATTTATTGCTATTAAGGTGTTATGGATTTCTTTTTCTATCTTAAAGTCCTTTTGCATTCACTAGAATGCAGCGGCTGCCTTAGCCAAAGATCCAGGCCATAAATCTTGGTTAGTACAGTAAAATTACTCCAGCAATATTCTAATCTTGCAATGCAGCTATAAAGCTAGATGCTGGCCACAGAGTGCTACTTACAATCAGAAATGGCTCTTATGCAATCAAAGATACAGAAAAGTTAGCACCTGAAAATGTGATTTTAAACCCACCTCCCTAAACCCCACATTCTGCCAGTCAATGTTACCTACCTGAGAATTTTTTTAGGAAACTGTGATGGAGAAGAAAGACTCCTTTTCTTCTTCTCTGAGCCCTGTGGGAAACTATCTTCTGTTCCACCCTTCTCCATGACTGCTGTCTGCTCCCCTTCAGCCTGGCTCTGCTCTACACTGAGCTGGCCTTGGGCAGGGTCACACCTGTACATGAAGACGATGGCTGGCTTCTCACTGGACTCTGCTTTGGTTTCTGTGAACCAGCGATGGCGTTGAACTGGAGGAGGGGGCAGCATGTGGATGACTGTGCCATCCAGGCCAACCAGTTTCCCTTTCTCTCGCTCTTTCTCTTTCTCATCCTCCTCATCTATTTTCCGGCGGCGGAAGAAGCTTTTAAATGATATCCAGCGCTTAGGTTTTGCATCCACAGCCCGCCTGCTTCCTTCAGAATGCAAAACAGATTCAGCTTCCGTTGACCTGGTAGGGCTGGTTGGCTTGGTCCAGTTGGTGAAATGCTTCTGCAAAAGGTTGCTTGCATGGTAAGGAGAGGAAGTAGAGCGTGGAGGAGGGAATGGAGGTGGTGGCTCACTTTGGGGGTTCGTAACTAATCTGGAAGGAGTGGTGGTGACTGACTTTGAGAATGGATCTTTCTGTGCTTTGGTAGGACTTTCTGTGGTCGGTGGTGCTTCCGCCTCACCACTGGGCTGAGATGTAAAGAGAGATCGGGGCCGCACTGGAGTACTCTTAGCAGGGTCCGCGTCTGGTGGAATGGCATAAAGCTCTTCCGTACTGCAAGCTTTAGGGCCAGATTGAGGCATTTCTGGAGGAGACTGTGGGGGTTGGATGGAAGCCACAATCTGAGAAAGGACTGTGCTTGCTTTCTCCCGGGTGTTACCGCAGCGGCCCATGGTCTGAGACTCCTGAGAGCCTTCTCTTTTAGCCACAGGTTCTTGAGTGGTTCTTTGGATCTTTGTTGGGGAGCTGTGGCTAGAACTGTAGCTTCTCTGTGGTGAAGCCTGGCCTCTGTGAAGACAGTTGTTAAACTCCTGAACCTTCTGAGCCACTGAGCCCTTTTTACGCTCTGTGCTGTTTGAAAACCCTTTAGGTTGAGGACATTCAGTGGGTTTGCTAGTGGTGCTATCAGACATTTTGCTTTCAGTTTCTATTTCTTCATAAGTATGGCTTATTATACTTGTGGTTTTTTCCTTCACTGAGAGCTCTCCACTTGTTCCCAGAAAACTCTTGTAGATAGCTAGATTGTCATATGCATTTGGATTGATTACAATGGGAACTTTGATGGCATTTTTGGAACTCCGAGCATAAGTTGGCTCATCATGAATAATAATTGGAAATGGTGGCATGCCAGCATTATTGTAACTATTAAATTTTATTTCAGACAAATTAGGTGACTTTACGGGAATGGTTCTGGAAGAAATGTTTGTAGCTGTGGGAGAAGTAGGTGCTGATTTGTGACAGTTTTTCCTTGAAGGGATATTTGGTCCAGTTCCACCACTAATTAATTCCACCTTAGGTATCTTTTGTCGTGGACTTGTACTTGAAGTCCATACTTCCTGGTATCGGATTGCACTGGATTTTTGGAAAGGGGCATTTATTTGTCCTGATGTTAATGCAGATGATGTCACTGGAGAGTTTGGAGTAGAAGATGAGCTTTTTGTCTTAGGGTTCTTGGCAGGGCCCTCGAGGTGCTCACTGGCCATAGCTGCTGACACATCCACGATGGTATACGGCTTGCACAATGGCTGCTCTAAATTCACAACTCGATAGGGCTTCGCTTGCTCTTCTATAGGAACAAGGTTTATAGTTACTGCCTGCCCAGCAATATCTGTACAGGCTTTACTTTCTTGCTTCTCGGTCTGTACAGCAATCTTGCCACCCTTGTCTTCTAATCGGAGCGCAAGTACTGCTTTGTGTGTCTCTGGAACTTTTGCTGAGCTCTTGGAAGTCTGTGATGAGTCTTCCTGCTTATTACCAGAGAGGCTTTCATAATTTGGTTCAATTTCTTTCATGTTCTTGGAGTCACCTTGGTTACCAGGAGTTACCCCTCCATTACAAATCTTCTGGGATAAACTGCTTGTGGTCTCAGAACGTGATTCTTCTGTTAAGGAAGAATCTGGTGACGTCGAGTCAGATGACAGCATGCTCTGAATGCTTCCGGGTCCATAGGAGACCACAGAATTCTCTTCGTAACCATTCAGGATTTCATCATAGCTGTCGTCATAGCCGACAGCACAGATTCTCTGCAGAGACTTGTTTCGCAGGGGCACAGTATTCCACTTTTTGTCCACAAAGAATCTAACAGGAGACAAAGTATTTGCCCTAAAGTTAGCAAAGCGAGGTTGCCCTCGCATGCGGATCTCCATGGCCAACAGCTCTTCATCGCTCTCATCCCAGCTCTCATGTTCCTCCTCCACATTACTGAAAAGTGCATCTTCCTCGCTTTCTTCACCACTAGAGAATTCTGGGTAACAGAAGCGGCCCCCTTCGTTACTGATCACTTCTGTGCTCCCACTCAGCATAACATGTTTTCCCTGAGCATCTTTTATCCCTCCCATCATGCAACTTGGTGGAAGTTTTCTCTCCAATGATCGTTTGTAGCAGTTATTTATTCTGCCTAAGAATGTTTCTCTAGAGTTTGTTTCACTTCCTCTTATCTGAGAGGTGGAATCTAAGCCTGCGATCTCCTTTAAGACTTCACTTAGTCCGTTATTATTGTTTGCTATCTGTTTTGTGTTGTCACTACTGCCGTAAGGCTTAGGAACATGGCTAAATCCTTCAATATCATCTTCATTATTATTGTTAAGTGGTTTCTGGTTCAAGGCAGTCCTGTTTCGGTTCCACCCAATGATGACAGGTTTGTTCTCACAGTGTTCTTGGATGCTAAGCTCACCACATAAACTCTGTCCATCTGCCACCATCATAGTGGGCTTCACAGCTATCGTGGGTTTTTTGGCCACAGGAGGTCGGAAATTTCCGGTGTTCCTGATGCGGTGATTATTACTGTGATTGGCATTTGTTTTCACATCGCCATGAGTGATGGGTGCCTTCTCAGAGTCTGGAGGGAGCTGGTGCAAGCTTTTAGGTTTAAAACAGTTTTTACATTCACCAGGTTTCCAAACGTGTTCAGTAAAGGTGTTACAAGCAGACATTTTTTAAAATAGAACTTCACAGGCAATGATTTTCTTTCAGTGCATGGCAAATCTTCCATCCATTAGTTTTCACCTCCCCAATGTGTCATAGCAGCTCTTCTAAGAATGATCAATCTGTGAGGGAAAAAAAGGAAGAACAATCATAATGGAAAAAGATACTGTCAGGCTTATGATAAGTGACTTGAAAAAAAAAACTGGTTTCATTCTTAAAGTTTCCCTTAAATTAAATGAAAAGAATAAATGAGATATAAACTAATTTGGATAGTTCATAATCTCCCTTTATTCAACCATCATTTTGGAAAGTTAGCCTTTTAACCATCATTTTCTCATGAAATCATTTATATTTCATTGACCCTGCCCCCCCGAAGATGCCTTTGATGCTGCTGTTTCTGTTATGCACCAATCTCTGACACTTGACACTTGGGCGTCCACTGCAGTCTCCTCTTCTCCTAATCATCCTTTAAATTCAGGGAATCATATAGACTCCTCAAACTTAATGCATTCAAAACGAATCCTTCTGGCTACCCCTTTTCTCAACTCATAGCAACTTATCTCCTCTAAGCAGTCAGCGTGCCTCTCCTTCCCAGGCCGCCTTCTTCCTCGTCTTTATTTTATACTTCAGTTAATATCACTACCATTAATCCACATGGCTAAGCTTCAAACTCTGGATCAATCTTGAAACCTCTCTGCACTTCTAACTCTACATCTTACCAGTTTATCTCCTTTTCTCTGGACCCCATTACCAGAAACTGCTAGTTCCACTCTTCACCATCTCTTGCCTAGATTATCGCACCAGGTTGTTTACTGACTTCCATGCCTGCCATCTCATCCGTTCGAATCCGTCCTCTACACCCTTGTTACTAAAAGTGCACTCCTCTGACTAGCAGCACCAGACTCACTTGAGAGCTTGTTAGAAATGCATCCTGGTAGGTTTTTTCCTAGACCTGCTGGTTCAAAATTTACACTATAATGCGATTATCAGGTGACTCTACTGCACTGTATTTCAATCTGATTTAACTTTCTAAAATGCTACAATGAGCATCTTATTACCTAGTTTAAAGATTATGCTGTGGCTCAGTCTTATTTAACGTACTGGTTCCCAAATGTCAGTATGTAGACTAGGGGTTCTGGATAAACAAGAACCATCTGAGGAACCACCAAGGTCCTGGGTAGTATAAACTGCTTACACGTGATTACAAGCCAAGAGGTTGGTGGTTCAAACCCACCCAATGGTGCTATAAAAGGAAGGCCTAGTAAATTGTTTCCTTAAAGATTACAGCCAAGAAAACACGATGGAGCAGTTCCACTCTGTAACACCTGAGGGCCATCATGAGTCAGCACTGACTCCATGGCAACAGGTTTGGTTTTGAGGCAGTTCAAGCTCACCAGCTGCTCCTCGGAAACCCTATACAGGGTCGCTATGGGTCAGAACTGACTCGATGACACTTAACAACAACAACCCTAGAGCTGGAGTCCTGGAAGAAGAGTGGGTTGTGAATTGGGCTGCAGTTTGAATCTACCAGCCCGTTCCACGGGAGAAAGATGAGGCTTTCTGCACCTGTAAAGATTTACAGCAGTTCTATATAGGGTGACCAAGGAACGACTGGTGAGTTGAATTGCCAACTTTGCGATTCAAACCTACCTTGTGGTCCAATTGCTTACCCTAAAGCGCCACACCAGGATTCCACCACCATAGAGCTACATAATCAATCTCTGGAAGAAGGCCTAAGAATCTGCATTTTAAACAGTCTCTCCAGGTAATTTTATGTGCAGAGTTGTTGAAATCTCTGAGTTACAAGAAGAAACTGAAGCCTTTTAGGTGGCACTGTGAGCTTAAAGCACTGGACCGCAAGGCTGGTTTGAACCATAGGGTCAGCACTTCAAACTCACCAGCGGCTTCCCATGGAAACCCTGTACAGGATCGCTATGAATCTTAACAACAACAGACATTTCTTCCTTCTAACCTCATGTCTTGAAAAGCAACAACTCTTAGCATACTCTAAATCCCATTGAGCTATCCATTTCTTCTTGAAATGATCAAAAACCCCTTCTTGTTGTTAAGTGCCATCGAGTCGTCATAGCTACCCTGTATAGTGTTTCCAAGGAGCAGTTGGTGAGTTTGAACTACTGGCTTTGCAATTCAAACTGACCTTGAGGTTGCGTGCTTATCCTAAGGCACCATTAATGAACAAGTAGTTTCATTTTCAACTGTCTGCTTCCCCACCAGCTTTGGAAGTCCTTGAAAGCACAGGCTGTATCTTACTCATTTCTACATGGCTTATACAAAGAGCTGAATGAAAACTGGTTGATTAAAGGTGCTGGTTTTAAGATTTAAGAACTTAATCTTGTGGCTTTTTCTACTGTCTTGGTAGCAAAGCTACACACATTCCCACAGAACACCACTAGTCTTACTTACATTTCTACTTTGGGTAGCATAAGAATTTGACAGCATATAGGCACTACACACACACACACACACACATATATTTAATAGCTAGAAAGTTCAATTTCATCATGTAAAACAAAAGTGCCAGGATCCTTGGTTTGGTTAGAAATCTAGCCTTTTTACCAACTTTCAGCATGTTTCTAAGAAAGAAATGTTTTCTTTAGCTAATATACACAAAGCTAAGCCCCGTGTAAGCAATACTTGTAAAGTACCCTGTTTTAGTGGGACACCTGCAGGCTTAAAGACCAAAGAAATTCAAACAAAAAGTCCAATGAACTGGCTAAAATCTAAGTTCAGTCTTTGCTGGAGACCATTGGAGGGGTCTTTTCAGTAAGGTTAAGGTACATTCTGTAAGTGTTTGTTTGAAAACATTTATTTACTCTTTCAGATATTTTGAAAGTTATATCCTTTAGTTGACAAAATGGTTTCCTGCTAGCTGGAGACTGCAACATTGTGGGCAAGTGGGAGAGTGGCATAAAATTGGGTGGCAAAGGAGACCAGAGGTCTCCTTTAGCCTAGTAAAGATTATAGACTTTATCCTAAGAGCAGTGGGAATCCTAAGCCACCACTTTAAGCAGGGGTTTTAGCAGGGGAAACAAACATAATGCAATTTGTATTTTGAAAAAGATTTCTCTGACTAAAAATCATGAAATGCTTAGTTGTAAATTGAATAAAACAATGCAAAATGTAAAACCTATATGAGGAAAATGCAAAATAACTTATAACAAACTGATTCTAAAATTTATATGAAAAAAAAAAAATCATATGAAAAGGCAAAGGAACTGTAATAGCCAAAACAATTTTGAAAAAGAACAAAGTTGGAGGACTCATATTACCTGATTTCAAAACTTCCTGCAAAGCGGCATTAGTCCTGACATTAGTATTAGAGAAAGAATAGAAACACAGATCAGGGGTAAGCAAAATCAGGCACGTAGGCCAAATCTAACATGTTGCCTGTTTTAGGTGCTGTAGGATAAGCACTGACCTGCTAACTGCATGATGGGCAGTTGAAGCCCACCAGCTGCTTTCAGACACCCTATACAAGGTCACTATGAATTGGAACCAACTGGACAACACACAACAAAACAACAGCAACAAACTAAGAAGGCTTTTTATATTTTGAAATGATTAGAAAAAAGAATTATACTTTTGACAAGTGAAAATTATCTGAAATTCAAAAGTCATTGTCCATACAGAGAGCTTTACTGGAACACAGCCACACTCATTCATTTATATATTGTCAGTGGTGGCTTTGTGCTGAGATGGAGAGTTGAGGAGTCATAATAGACATCGTGTGGCATCTTCACTGCCTTGCACAGCTTCTCAGCACACTACAAATTGCAGTGTTTCGACTGTTACATGTGTCACCTATACGAAAAGATTTTTCAAAGGTAAAATATATATAATTCCAGTATGAATATTTGCAATCAATTCTGATGAGAAGAAATACTAACTGTGACTCTCAATTAAGTGAAATGTAATCGCTCTCCTAAAAAAGAATTCCACTCTTCTTATTGGAACTGTGTTAGAAAAAAATTGTTCTCAGTGATTACAGCTTGAATTTTATGAAAAAATGAGTCTTCTCTCCTGTTATACAAATGCCTGCATAATATTTTTGATTTTGCCTTTTATCCTACAAAGACTTATAAAATAGTTACTATCTGGTCCTTTACAGTTACTGACCCCTGACATAGATCAATGGAATAGAACAGAGTTGAGAAATAGGACCCCCACAAATAGAGTAAACTGATCTTTGACAAGGTGGAAAGCATATTCTTCTCAACAGAAGTTTTAGAACAACTAGATATTCATACACACACATACAAAATGAACCTTGATCTATTCCTCATACTAAACATACAAGTGAATTCAAAATGGATCACAGATATAAGAAAACAATGTAAAACAATAAACATTTAAAAGAGAAAACAGAAGAAAATATTTGCAACCTTAAGTTAAACAAATAATTCTATGCTATACCACAAAAAGCATAACCCATAAAAGAAAAAAATCTGATTAACTTGGACTTCATCAAAATTAAAAGCACTTGCTCTGTAAAAGACACTGAACAGAATGCAAAGATAAGTCACAGAATGGAAGAAAATCTGCAAAGTACATATCTGACAAAGGACTTGTGTCTAGAATAAGAAAGAATTCTCAAAACACAACAGAAAGAAAACAAACCCAATATTTAAAAAATTGGCAAAGACTTAGCAGACACTTCACTAAAGATGAATTATATGCAAACGTGAAGATATGCTAAATATCACTAGACAGTACAGAAATGCAAATTAAACTATAATAAATGATCACTATATATCTATCACAATTAGTACACTAAAGTTAAAACAAAAACTGGTACTAGTGAAGATGGGGCAATATAACTCTCATGCATTGCTGGGGGAATGCAAATGGTTCTGTCACTTTGAAAAACAGTTTGGCAGTATCTTAGAAACATAAGCTTGCTATGGAATCCAGCAACCCCACTCCTAAGTATTTATCCAATACAACTGAAAATTTAGGTTCACACTAAAACCTACCTGTACATGAAGGT